TCTCTTGTTTTCATAGCGATCCTTGAGAAGTCGAAGGGCTACCACATAGTTTTCAGGAGTAATATTAAGACTCTTAACCAAGTCTAAGGGCTCACCACTCAGGGCACTAAGCAAATACTGAAACTTATTCACTGGGGAGACAGAATTATTCGCATTGACAGAGGCTTCAAAAATATTATAGAAACTAACCCACTCTTCATAGTTACCACTAAATTTAGGCAACTCAAATTTAGGCAGGCGCAGAGAAGCTGGAGGTGGAGTAGGTGTTACAACAGGTTCAACTGGCAAAAGAACTTTAATGTCACTTATAAGGGCTACATACAAGTCAGAAAGTTCATCATGCATTGAAAATGATTCCTCCTCATCACAATCAGAAGCAGGGTCATCAGTCACAACTCTATTAAATAAAGTTTTAAAGTCAGTAAATAGATCTCTGACCTCCTCATTATAATTGTGTAAACGCTGTATATTAGCAGGAGTCAATTCTTGACCTTCAGTTCGAGGAAGTTGGTTTGACAAATATTTATTTATTTTCTGAAACCTGTTTTTAACAAGTTTTGCTTTTCTTTGTAGGGTAGTGAATCTCATCATGAACAAACAAATTAAATAACACACAACAAGAATAGATGAGTTTTCATAAAATAGCCCAAAATCTTAAATTAATAATGATCTCATAAATCTAGGCCTACTGAAGTGCATAAATCAATTTGCAATTCAACTTCAATAGTAAAGTGAAGTCAATTATCAATTTGTTATTATCACCAATAATCTCTGTTGACAATAATATTTACAATAATGAATAAAGAGAGCATAGCAATAACAATAATTACCAGTTTTCTCCAGTTCAGGACCCTTTTCAATTAGTATTTGATTAAATAAATAATGTCTTCATTTTTCAACAACATAAACAAACTTGCAGGTTATGTTGATATGTTTCAATTCAATATCGGGTTATATTTAAACAAACAGCTGATGTAGATGAACAGAGTTTTGATGAGTTGAGTTTTCAGTTTAATAGCAGACAGGTGATTGGTTCGTCCTCAGTTCCACCGTTTCACTAATCTTGTAGGTAATTGGTTGCCATGTAGCGCAGAGCGATCTGTTGGCGAAGTTGAGAACTACCAACTACCAAGGTGTATCGCAAAGGACAGAACGTTGTTGCAAAATGGCGGACAATGGGATAGAATATTTCAGGGAAATAACTACTAACTAACTTTGCAATTTTATTTATAAACCCAAATAATAAGACTGAATTGATTGTGAGACCTTATTATTTAAAAGGATTTTATGGATGAGATGTGAATAAATATTCAATCCTAAAAATGTTCTACGCTTGATTTATTTCAAGACAAACTAGGTAGGCCTAACTTGACGTGATTTAGGTGGCAGTGACAAAATTGAACATGAAAATAATTGTCTGGTATGAAACAGGAATGGACATTAAAATTGTTCGTAATAATGTTTCAAAAGACAAAATATTACCAGTTAGGGATGTGACACTGATCATAAACATTCATTTGAGAAATAAATTATTGTACTGTATCAATTATATTTTAATTGGCAAATGTAGTCCGGCTCGACAGGACCAGCGAATGGGGGGTAAACTTCGATATGGTGGACTGTATAAAAAATGAGGGATGTGAGATATATTATGTTAAGATCAGCTTTAGAGACACACTGTGAGCACAAAATAATAAACTTTTAAATAGGAAGAAATGTGATTTGGTACCTTCCTTTTTACTGAAGTGATGTCTAGTAGACCGTTGACGCACTTGATGTTTGCTGGCCAGCTTTCGCGTACGCGACCGGTAGTTGCACCAAGAACAGTTTGAATACAGTTTTTAACTATTCAGTTCACTTTTTTGTTAGGTGTGTCACAAATAAATACATAAGATAAACATACGATAATATAAGTTCAATTTATATGCCACAAATAGAGTAGGGGAATATTATAATACAAAACTAGGGAAAATGGCGAGAACATGATGCCGGGTTGAAGAGTACATGAGGAATGGGGGAAATTGCCAGACATCACGTGACAGGGCAAGGGTCAGAACAAAATATGAATGAAGTCTGGATTCACCTAGGTTGCGTAGATGCTTGAATACGGAACACTAATAGTCTGTTAAGAGAATTTAGAAATTACAAACTGCTGTTTTGATAAAGATTCCTTTTCCTAGCTGTCACTGATATGTTTACATAAATGTTGTTGACAAATACTGTGTAGGCCCTAACCATTTCCGATCACGTTTGTAACCATTTACGATCACGTTTGTAAGCAAATCCAAAACCAAGTGAGATTAATAACCGTGTGTGATTTGGCTTACATACTGGGTTTGATTTATCACGGGTACTAATATATAACTGTAAATTAAATTAAATAACTAGAGCCATCATCCAGGTCGGGAACCGGAGATTCTGTGTGTATCAGGTTGTACTTGAATTTTGATTACAGGGAAAAGACCGTGAATCAGTGTTGTACAGGACTGGAAAACTTATCTTTCTATATAAATAAAATTAGAGTTTTATAAGTCACCACAATTTAAGGAATTTTTTATTGCCAGAATATCCATATAGCGTTCGTAACCTCTGCTTAACGAATTGTCAGCGTCTTTTCTCGATATAACGATCCCCTCTCCCTCCCTTTTGAAACATCACAGCTCCTTTGATGAAAATTAAATGGAAACAACGCTTGCGCCAACAATCGTCTGCTCCGTTTTACACTTCTGTCTGCTGTGCGCTATGTTACAACAGATGTCAGATACAACAGCTGGGGAATGATGACGATATAATGCTTAGTAAACTGTGATTGAGTGATTAGTAACCATGGTAATTTTAACTTTAGTAAGGCTGTGATTGGCCAATGAGTAGGCCTAAATATGGCGACTTGTTGAATTTGTGTATGAATTGAAGAGAAACCTATTAAAGAACAAAGAAAAAGAATACAGTGCCGTAACAAGATTGTTCTCGTTACATTCTTTTTTAAGAGTGTTTTAATTATCTCTAAATATAATTTTACACTTTTTTATTACTTATCTATCAATTCCTATGCTGTGATACAGCACCTATCGGTAGCCTATCTTTCTATCATGAGCAGTACCTTATAACACTTTCTAAAGGTTCCTTTAATATTTACGTTATTTATAGCAATGCAATGTTTGGCTAGTGATAAGTTGAGTTTGAGTTAGCTATAATATTAAACGTTGCCGTTTGTACAACTGAACCAAGATAAATGATTTGAAATTTACAATAATAATGTTATTGCACAATAATAATGATTGTGCAATAATAATGATTGTGCAATATTGAATTTTGTATATAAAAATGATAATCGTGACGTAAATGGCTGTTTACAGCGTTTTAATGAGTTTGTCATCTGTTTTTATAATATATTGGATTAACCGTATTTTTCATTACCCCCCCTCTCCCTATTAACTCAGGTAATCGAGTATCTAAACAATAGTTTAAAGTATTGTAGCATGCTACTTGATTGCATTTTAACGAGCTTTATGTCAAAAAAGCTGTTTTTCTTTGTAAATTGGCTGCTGCCGTTGGAAATAAATAAATAAATAAATAAAAGCGTTCTGTGCTAAGTCGCGGTGTAGCTGGACGTGTCTGTACCACGCGTTATCTTTTATCTATCACAGCAGTTGAGCCATTCCGCGCCCTCCCTCTTAGATCTCACGTCTTGCTAATCTTAAATAATAACTTCCTACACGAATCCTAAAATCCTATTTTAACTAATTGAACTCAATAATATAACTATTGTCATTAATTAATCCACTTTCTATCTGGCGACTTCGTAATATATTTTGGATTGTCGTCACGTTGAACACGACAATTAGCTTTAGCCACCCCCCCCCCCCCCCAATTTGAATTTTTTGAGCCCCCCCCCCCAAGAATTTCAATGACGCAGTCTGCGTCACAGCCCCCCCTTGTGGGCACCCCTGAGCTAGGGAGTAAGACTAGGAGTTCCAGAAAGTATAGTCATAATTTCTTGTCTTTAGTTTTATCTTGAGTTGTTAAAGAGAAGTGCAAGGTCGTGTCCACCATAATCCTGTTATTACATTGTAGATAAAGTTTATTGTTAAGATTTCGTCTCAGACTGATGTCAAAAGGCTTTCTTAAAAGTTTTGAATCAGTGACACATATTTTAATAAAACACATAGTTTGCCGTAAACATTATAGGTGTTGAAAACAAATGTTTGGTCACCATAATGAAATCACCATAATCATGATCAAAAATGGATACTGTGTATTTGATTAATTAACAATTAACAAATGTTTAGCCCTATAACCCCCCTACAGTGTCATTTTTGATGAGATACAGCAGTATATTTCTTTAACATAATATTATTAGCCTATTTTTTGTTAGTAAATAAAAAGAGGTCAACCATATAGCAAGAAAGTGATCTCTTTCTAGGGATCTATTAAAAATATCATAACTTTTCAAGATTCAAAAGTTGTCCATTTTACCTTGATAATCCCAAACGTTCTTAATCCTTTAATTTTGTTTTTTATGTTTGGTCAATTTAGGTGAAAGCTAGTATAGTTTCATTTATGTATAAAATATGATTACTTATTTAGTAGAATCTAGAAATTTAATTGAAAAGTACCCTTTCTACTATCAGTTAACAATGAATTATTTGGATGGAAATTTTCAAACACTTGAATAACTAAATGAAATTAAAGCATATGATCTTGGTTGTATGAGAAGTTGTACATCTTAGGGGCCTGATGAGGGGGACGGGGTGGGTGGGGGGACTGGAAGTCATGGACAAGATATGGAAGGTCATCAAAGGTGTGTCAAGGTTACACAATTCACAGAGCTGCTAGATAACTACTGATAACATTGGCTGCAGTCTAGTCCACCAAGTAGCCTTCTACTTCTATACAGATATTTTGGAATTATGAGATTTCATAGGGAGCACCTAGACTGTAATGCCAAAATTCAGAAGCACAAAATAATAATCCTGCATAACAATTAAATTTCTATTTACCTAAATAACCTCAACTGTTGATGGAGTTGGTGGAAGTGTTTATATCGCTTCTTCAAAGTCCATGTGAAGTCTCCGTGCCTCAGCTCAATAGTGTAGCTAAAGATAAAAATGTTTTAAAAACTTTAAGAAAAATTTTTCACCAAACATTTGGTATTTATAATAGCCTTTAAACATATTTTCTACTGAAGTTCACAATTCACAAAGGTACAATGGTGTTATGTGATAAAAACTTAAACGTAGACTGCAAAAACTCTTAGCAATAATAAAGCACTTAATTGCATTTAATTCAATAAATTTCTCTTAATTTCTGCAATGGTTATTTTGGCAGACACATTTTTGTTGTTGATCTATGAGGTTTTAAAACGTATAAAAACTATTTAAAAAATACTTGGTTACTAAGTCATCTAAATGCCATAGTTAGTTGCAGATATCTGTACACATCAATTTGAAAATATCAAACACTTGTATAGGCCAAATGACAAAAATCAAAGATTTTGTTTACTTTAAAATTAATTTTATATCGGTCATTTTTTCAGATATTACCAAGCAAATCTCTCAAACATTCTGGAATTTCATCAACTGTAAAAGATAACAAATCATTAATACAATAATTGAAAATTATTTATAAGTTAATACCTTATAAGAACGGTTGTTTATTTTTAAGGTAGGTGTAAAATGTGTTTACTAATTTTTAGGGAAAAAATCATGCAGAAATATCTGCCCAGAGGGCCAATCTTTTAGGGGCTCAAAATTTATAAAATGATTTTTCTAATGTTGTTTTGGTTAAAGTAATTTTTCATGAATTCTATGCATTTTAAATAGTGAAAACGAAGGCATTCATCATGTTCATTCCATGTAATTTACTATGTACATGAAGTGAGGTTAGTATAATCATATCAACTGTTGTAGATTCTAAATTGTAAATGGTCTTTGTAGAGAGGACTTCTTTTACAGTTCATCCATCTTTTCTCAGCGCAATATCTTTCTTTTAGAATCAATGTCTAATCAATCTGTTGACCTTCATTTTTATTCTTAACTATTTTAATGATTTAAGATTCTGTCCAATTATCAAATCTTAACATTTTTGTGTTGCAAATTCCCTGAAAACATACACCAATTCTTTTCACCACAATCCTACAGTATTGGATGCCACAGACTACAGGGTCACTATTATAGTGGGGGGGGGGGAGGGGTGAGTGATGTCAGAGGTATGCTGAGTTAGTAATCGTTGGCTGAGCTCATTATGTGACCTCGACTCTCACTGCAACTCACAGCTCACCACAACACATCCCGACTACTCACATTCAGCCATACAAGGATAATATACACACAGTGCAGGGATTTTCCTGATAATAAACATTGAGGAAGGGATTCGAGTATGGTGAAAATTATAATCACCACATGGCTTTTAGTGGAGAGTACTCCAAAGCAGATAAAATTCTCCTCGTCTGAAAGACCTATTTTTGTTTATTTAATAGTCATATAGGTTGACCTAAAGCCACACTGGCTCTGAACTATATTATCACATTGTTAAAAAGCATTGGTGATTTGCAGGATTTGAACACAGGTCCCTTGCACAGAAGTCCCAAACTCTGTAGTGAACGCAAAGTAATTTTCCTAACAGTTGACAGAATAGCCCTAATTTGTTTTGGTAAAATTCTGCATTATGATAATAAAATTGGAATGAAATAAATTCAAGAAGTCTAAAAGAGTAAATTATCCATGGGAAAATATTGACTGGTGGTAGCTAGCGGTTTTAAAGATCTTGAATAGTGCAAGAAAAAATATAAAGAAACTCTTTCATTTCCAAAATACATTTACTGTATATTGTTAGTTGTAATGCATGTTAAAGAATACTAAACACTTTTGAGGAAAAGCAGATCAAACCCCTCAAATATTTATGATTATGCTAAGAATTGAACCTATCCCTAGAGCACTGGGTGCTTCTTACCCATCCCAGTAGCAATGTTTTGTTTACACTGCATATTCAACTATAAATTAAACCCCTCTATCAAGGCGTATGAAATTATTACAGCACATTATCATTTGAACCGTGACTCGTTAACTGGCTGAATCTGTTATCTGAGTAAGTCAAAACACTGGTTGGGATGGTAATAAACATGCCAAACAACTTGTTACAGCCTGAGCTAGGCCAGAATGCTGTACAACTCAACCATTGCTGATGACCTCAGTATGTCAGCTGATGACCAAACAACCGGTTGACCTTCTCGTTGATCTCAAAACTGTCACTTCCTGTGACAAAACGCCAATCACATCTGACTCGTCTGTAGTATCACTGTGAAATCTGATAGAAATTTTGAAATCCCATTGAAGTTTTGATTTGACAGCGGAAATTAAGAAATTATAAACATCATTACTTAATTTAGGTAATTGTAATCATGAATATATACAAATTATTGTTGTTACCCCAAAATAGTTTAGCTCCTAAATATGTATTTTACGTTTAAATTTGAGATAGAGAGCATTATATGTAAAACTTCAGTTTTAAAATGAATCCTCAACAGTCATGCTTTTTCCTAGCTTGAGATATTTCGTGATGACTGATTCGCTTACAGTATTAAATATATAGATGTTACATGTATATATGTTAAATGTATATATGTTAAATGTAGTTTATATGTTAAAATCTGCCAATTCTTACAAATGTCTAACAGCCTGTTATTGATCATAAAATTTTAAGTAAAAAACAAGTAATTTTTGTGCCAAGCAATGTTCAAGTGCGATAAAAAATGTGTTTACCACTGCAATATGTTCTTTTCTAAAATCTTGATTTATATTACACTCACATGTGAATGATTAAACTACCAAAACCATAACTTAGCCCCAACTATGTTGAATTTCACTGTATAGTATAGATAATAAAGAAAAATATGGGTTATTAAAGACAATCATAAGTCATAAGTCTTTACGTCTTTTGGGAGTTAATTAAAATCATTGTTTAGTTTGGTCGGAAATTAAAAATGCCAAAGATAATAGTAGAACAGTATACCAAAAATAGTCAAGAATGTAAAATAATACATGTGTCAATCACTTAAGATAAAAGCTAATTTTAATGTCAAGTACTTAAATGGCTGTGAGAAGAAGATTATTAGTTGATACAATACTTGATGTACGGTATAATTGATTCAGTAATATAGTACTCAAAAGCTTTTAAACTGTCAAAAACCTCTAACCTCTTAAAAACGAATTTGATTGATTGTGTAAAAAACATACTTAGTTTTTTGTACCAAGGAGTACTTGACCTCCTAAAAGAGTTTTGACCATCAGAAAGAATGTTGGAAAGAAGTCCAATTTGTGTAAAACATTAAAGTTTTTTTTTATATCAACAATACAACAAAAGCCTAATTATAATGATCAGAAACTATCACCCAAAAACAGCTCTGGTTATGTTAATGTGTACCCTATGCCTAATGTTAACATTTTTTTCCAATTTTGTGCAGATTAAAATTCACAAATTCCAATTTTAGACTTTGTGAGTAAGCACTAAACAAACTGTCTCTTTGGTTGTATATGGTCATGGTATATCCATCCAAAGGGGCCGTGGATAGTGAACATTTAATTGAAATGCATTTGATCTTTTTGGTTTACCGGTTTAATTTTCATAATATATTTATTTTTCTAATCATTAGTTCACAAATATTTATGTTGTGTTTTTGTGTTACAAGTTATTTTATACTGTAAAGATGTGAAGCAACGCTGCTTTTAAAACTTGCAATCCTTACGGTACCTAATTAATTTTCATGTAAAAACAATATAAGAATTGGAAATATTGGTAGGTACCTACGTACAAACTTTAATCGATAGTTAACTGAGTAGCTGAGTGGTTATAGTGCTCTCATCGAAATCATAAGGTTGCCAATTTAATCCTGAGTAAAGTTGGTATCTTTTTTTGATAATTCGAAACTGTACCCAGCTGTCCCTTTGTTAGATATTTTAATAATGTAAAACTTAAACGTAGTAACTCAATTTTACTTTTTATGTAAAGAATCCATTAACTTTTGCCACAGGGATGGAGCAACCTTGACCCCAAACATCAGTCTATTTACTTTGAACAACCCTTTATGAGTACTTAGAGTGAAGTCTTTTGGAGTGAAATAGTCTTTTGTAATCTTCATAAGAAAATGATGTAAGTGATGCTCCAGTATCCAACTCAAAAGTTACAATTTTACCTTTCACTTTTATATCAATGTGAAATTTGTCATCCTTCTTTTTGTCGGACAGTAAACTTATTTCATGGATGTTATCTTCAGAAATGTTATTATTTTCAGTGTAATGAACTTGTCCTTTACTGATTTTATATTAACTTAGACATACACTCTTGAAATATGTCCCATCTTTCCACAGGTGTTACAGGTTTCATCAATCATTGGACAAACATTCACTCTATGGTTTACATTCCTACATTGGTAGCATTTCCCTTTCAGTGACTCAAAATCTGTTACACGAAATTTACTATTTGTATAAGATCCTGTGATGTTTAATTTTGTTCTGGATCCGTGAAATCGTCCATTAGACTTTGGTGGATTTATGTCTAAGTTTCCACACTTTTGACATATCATAGGACTTTCCTGTTTTGAAAGTTCCATCGTAGTAGCTGTATTAAGGATTTCTACGAATTGTCTGTGGTCACATTTTTGTAGCAGCTGAGTTTTTATGTCCTTGTCATTATGTCCCCGTATGAGTTGTAGTCGTAATAGCATATCTAATACAAACATTCCACAAGCTTTGTAATAAATTTGCAGTTCGTTGATAGCCTTTTTAGTTCTGTAGAAAAATTCGAAATTTGTTCTCCATCTTCTTATATTCGACTTATAAATGTGTGTTGTAAAGCCAAAATACTTTTATTAGGATCTAGAAAGTTGCCAAGTAAGGTTACAAGCTCTTCATACTCTTTATTCATAGGATTGTCTGGTGTACACAGGTCGTATAGTTTCTGATGTAAAAGAGGTTGTCAAGGCATGTAAAAGTGTAAAAGTCTTTAATTTAGAATCATTGATATCTTTCAAAGTCAAAAAAACCTCCATTTTTCTGGCAAAATTAGAAAAGTTTTCTCTTTCATCGTAAGGAGCAAACTCAAATTTGAAGTAGGAAGGCCTGGAATTGGTGTATTAGTATGTAGATTTGAATTGATACAATCATTTTGATTAGGAATATAGTTATGCTGTATACTAGGCATATGAATCATTTGGGCATCCATTAATCTTGTTTTTGTATCAATCGGCATGATTTCAATACTTTCTCTATGTCAGCTCATGTTCTAAATCTTCTTCTGTATAGAAGTCGATCTTGTCTTGAATTAGGTCATACTTTGATTTAACCCTTAGAGTGCCAGGCGAGAAATAAAAGTAACGCTCAAAAAATGCCGATGATTTTTCCCTAAGGTCGCGCTAAAAATGCCGAACGCGATCTGGCGATTTTTAGGTTAAAATTTCGTAAAAATCGAATTTTCGATATTTCGACCAACGAAAATCGATGTATTGCATCTAGTAACTTTCGACTCAATGTTAATATATGGGTTAAAAGAATCCGAGTATCCATTCGGTTGTTATGACAACTGTTCGATCATTACGAAACGTCCGGTCAGCCGGACGTTGGCACTTTTGGCTCGTTCTAAAAACGTCCGGTCGGCCGGACGTCGGCACTTTTGGCTCGTTTTAAAAACGTCCGGTTCCCCGGACGTTGGCACTCAAAGGGTTAATCTTAGCTAACAAGTCAAGTCTAGTTTTGATTTCATTGATAGAAAATGTTCTTATGTCCCCACATAACTTCTTTACATTTCCAAGCTGAAACTTGACTGGTCTTCGCAATGATTTAAATTTCGTAACATTATTTAGGCCTACATCTTCTGCTATTTTTTCTCAATCTTCCATTATTCTTGTCATCATTTGTTAGATATTTTAATAATGTAACACATGAAGTAAGTCAATTTTACTTTACTTAATCACAATTCTAGTATGTAACTGTATCATATAAACAATAATAAATAAAAACAAATGTTTAACTAATAAAAAACTTATAGCCAGTAATTTTGGAATGAACACATCGCCCTGATCATTGGGCTTTAGGTAAATGAGCCTGGCTAATGAAGTAACAAAGCTACAAAGATCATCTCCTCCATCCATCAACTCACCTAGCACGCATAGGATATTCAGCTTAAAATATGCATCTAGGTGTGCGTATCTGTCTTATGGTAGGTAGAGGCGTAACAGAAGGGCCCGCAATGTGGGGGGGCCCACGAACCGGTGAGCTGGAAATGGAGCACGGAAACCGGCGAGCAAAGAGGCCCTTGCTTGAGACGAGTGGGGTGAAATATTGGAGTTTATTCTTATTGCAATGTATTATCAATTATTTTATGTATTGATGAAGTAATACCATTAACATTGATTTATTGATAAGTATTAACATTAATGCTATTAATAATATGTTGTTATCGTCTAGTTTGGTTAGGCCTATTCAGTAATAACGAACTAAAGTACAAATTTAACGTTTTATAACGTGAGTCATTGATTAGGTATGCAATCTAACTTTCCTCACAGAGAAGTATTTTACTTCTCTGTGCTTGCGTACACAGCTTATGTCTGCAAACATTTTGAAACATTAAGTTAAGTTTCCTGGAGCCTGGAGACATGAACGTTGACTGCGGGGCTTTTAATATTGTATTATTACAATTTTAGTTTTGCCCTATTATTAATTGTATTAGCCTAAGTTAAATTGTTAAATACAACATATTGCTACTCTAGTAGCTTTGTTTGTTAGCCTATATCTTATTTTACCTCACAATTAATCAATACTAAAGTCATACCTATGTTGGTAAGGTCAACGCTTGAAATCCATACAAAGACAACATTTAAAAAAATGCAATTGGCTATTTTAGCCTGTGATCAAGGTACGTCAATCTATTATACCAACACACTTTATTAGTGTATGAGTTAATTATTACCATCGATAAAAACTAACCGAATGAATAATTGATAACATGTGTAATAAATTATAAAACCTCCATGATATGAAATTTAAAATACATTATAACTTAAAAAATAAAAAATCATAATACATAGGCCTACGGATAAAAAAATAAGGTATTTTTATTTTATTTAAAAACTTTTACAAATACTGATACTGATATAATGATGAAGTACCGGTAATGTAACTTTATCATCAAACCCATGACTAAAATACCAATGTATAGAATACTATACCGGTACCCATCATTTATTTACTACTACATTATGATGAATCTGTTTGATTATGTTTTGTATCGGTGGTCTAAAAATAACTCATGAAAGGGGTTCCAAAAAATAAGTTTGCAGGAGGACCGAAAAAAATATGTTACGCCACTGATAGTACCTAGGTATAATAATGATGAGATGATTCTTTTTAATGAACAATATTCATAATTGAAAATATTGTTAAATACTTTGACTACAGAGATTGGATATTGTTGGTACACATTTTCCAAATTATTTGAAAACTATTAAAGACAAACACTTTCTTGTCTTAAAACCCCGTAAAAATCCTAAGTTAAATAACTCAGTTTCTCTCATCTTTAAGTTTGCTTTTTACATCATCAGTTGTTCTACTGTAAATATGACCTTGATAAGCATTTACAACATTTACTTTGCAAATTCAAAACGTTAGGGTTACCTACTTCCATAACGTTGCAACAAGTGGTTATTCTAACACTCTATAGTACACCTAATTGATTTCACATTATCAATTATTTTAACGTTCCCTTTTTCTGCGACAGTATGGTTTTTTTTCATTTGAAAAGAAGTAAAATTCAACCATATACCCAAATATGTGCCTCTTAAAGCAAACAAGAATGAATGCTCAAGGGCAATATAAGAAGCAATTCAGTGAAGATGGCAAAATACAGCTTAGCCTTGTTGCTCTTTCACTTTACGGTATCACAGAGTTTTTATTTTATTGTTAATATCAAACAAGCTGAAACAAAAAAAACTTCAACTAGGCCTAATTACAGATCATATATTGTTTGTGACATGAAGATTGTAGATCTGTCACATAAGATATTATTTAGGACACAAGCTTTAACAGACACTAATTTGTATGAAAACTGAAACGTTTTTAAAAAATATTTTCATTAGATTTAGCCTATCAGGCTAATTTAAAGTGATTTCATGTTAATTTTCTAGTTACCTAATATATTGGTTCTTGAATGATGTGCGTAGCTAAAAACTAACTCCGTACTTGAATAAAAAGGTAGGCCTAGGATTTTTTTTTATAAAATATTTGACAAAAATTCAAATTCTGTCTAATCAGAATTTAAAACCGAACCTAAATTAGGGGCTTATCTTGTTTAATAAATTCGGTACGGTAGCATTTTTAATCCATACTCTTGCAGTCAGTGATCAGGACTGGAATTAAATAGAACAACCTCCAAGGATCACTTTTTGGATGACTCTCCACCATTAAATGCCTAGATAATACAAGCTGTAAATATTCTCATTACTCACAGGTTAGGATTCAGAAGATGAGTAGTGACACTTCTTTCGTAATCTGTAAATTGCAGTTCTATCTCTTCATTAGAAATGAATATTCTTCTATGAGGTGACTTAAACTTGATAGGTGGCAAGTGTACATTTTTGAATGGAAGAGCTCGTGATCCTAAATGCACACAAGGCTTAAATAATAGATTTATCGACTAAAATAAGCCTGATAGCCTACTGTATTGCACTAAATCTTGCATAGGTAAGTTACCTTTAAGTTATATATGACTTGAAAACCTTGAATAAATATAGGCTTGATGATTGCACAACTAATAAAATTTAAATAAACATAGGGCCTAAAACAAAATTTATTGAAAGAAATTTCAATAACTTAGGTCAATTGTTGTAGGCTAAACTTACTTAAAACATTTTAATTAGGTAGCCTACCACAATAGTTACCTACAGTATTTACATTTAGGATAAGTTCTGGGAGGATTAGATGGCAAAGGTGATAAACTATTTTGTGAGTTTCATTTAAAGATGTTTTAAGTTATTGGGCTTAAACTATTTTAGCGCTCGCCATAACCATTCTTCTACAGGTTTTAAATAGCTCATGTTAACTTAGTAGCATATAGGCTATACAAACAATTGATTTAACTTACAAAAGAAAAACTTACCAAGTGGGATATCATCAAGATCACATTTTCCTCCCAAACCATCTGTAACAGTGTATGGTGTTCCATCATCATCTATGTCTGGTATGGCAAGATACTCGTCATATTCGGAATCAAGGGAAGGAGGGCCAGTGACATTTGCCATGTTCAAATAGCAACAATAAGTAACTAGGCTACAATAAGTAACAAATAACACTCTGAAACTAACAATGTATGGGAAACCCCTGATCAGTTTTACCAAAATACATGTCTTTGGACCTTGAGTTTGTCACAACACAATCACACTAAACGAATAAAACACATTTTTCACGAAACTTTATGGTGTTGACATTTTGAAATACTTGTTTTCCCACTTCAAAACCATAACATAACATCACCTCTAGCAGACACTTCTAAAACAGATGTGTTCTGTTCTGCTTCTACTTCTACAAGCAAAATCGGTTCCTCTACTTCTCTCTGTGAATTGAATTTGATGCTGAAGTGAAGTGAAGTGAGTGACAGCATTGACTATATATATAGTCAATGGTGACAGTACTGTAAAGTTTCCAATCACAGCTGGCTGAGGCTAGGCTGATGGTAGTGAATAGTGAGTGATGTGCGATACGTATCGTATCGTATCGGAATATCGCGATACGGACGGAGGGACGATACGATATTTCGATACGATATTTGAAAATCGATACGTATCGTATCGCCTAAAACGATTGTATTTATATCGGCACATAGAGCAATACGATTCATGTCAAAACGATATTTTTAAGCTTGTTTGCGCAGGCCGAGCAAACTGAAAAAATCTGTACTCTGTGGATGTGTAGTTTGAAATCACTGAGCTAAAATTATAACTGGAGGTAGCACTGAATGTCAAAGATGCGTGTCGCCAGCCGCCATGTTTGCGTGAGTCTTGTGTCATAAGAAGCCATATTATTGTTATAACTATTATTATACTTGGCTTAAAATACCTACTTTGTATGTTCGCCATTTCAAAGAAAATTATTAAAGTATTAAAAGTATTCAAGTATGACAAAAATACTCACTGCTATACCAACCTAGTTATAAGAAGCCATGTTATTGCTATGGTAAGAAAACTTACTGCTATACCAACCTAACAAAATCAGCGACACGCTTTTGACAGACTTCTGCCATGGCAGTGCTACCTCCAGTTATAATTTTAGCTCAGTGTTTGAAATAGGAGTTTTTGACGTCTGTATTTTTGGTTTTTACTTGATAATGTAGGCCTACCAGTCCCTTCCCAGTCCATTTCCACTAGCGTGCTATCTAGCACTAGCAGTGCAGAGTGTGGGAACAGTCTGTGGCAATTACATTAATCTATCTGCAATCCTAAAAATGCTAAAAATGGGAAGGATAGGGAAACAGGTCCAAGACGTAGGGAGTTGTGAACGAAGTAGTAAAGGCGAGCAGTGTGGAGTGTGGAAATGAATTAATGTATCTGCAATACTAAGACTGTTTTCAGAGTAAACTAATGATTTTCCCCGAGCAAAGCTTGGTCCCCGGGTACTTAGCCGTTTCTAGGTTAGGTAGGGGAGGGGGGAAACAATACGATATGTATCGTATTTCGATATTTTTTACGATACGATTCGCGTATCGCGATACAGACGCCCGATTCAATACGGCGATACGATATTTTTTCCGATACGTATCGTATCGCGATACGCGTCCGTATCACTGCACTGAGCTATAATTCCAACGTCCGTATCGCCCATCACTAGCTGCTGGACCTATCAGGTTAGCAAACGTCATAAATGTAAATTCCCTTTTGATGTTTGAATTTTCGCCCTCTTTTCGCTACAAAATTTGTAGATTTAAGTACTCAATGGTATTATATTATATAATTTTAAAATACCATAGAAATAACCACGGGTAGGGGGGGGATTTACATGTAATGATATACCCATACCTCATAAATAAGATAACGTCATATGTTTTATTTTAGTGGAATGAAGTTCAGTTGCTACTCCTGATAGCTGTTCGTATATTATCCGCTAGGAGCGTTGATGGTGTGGTGGGGTTTGCGCAAGCGCAAGAAAATCTTTGTTCCAATTAAAGAGGGAAAATGTAAATTTGAAAAGTGTAGACTTTTTTAACTTTCAATGCCTATACCATACCTATTTATTAGATTAGTTAAGAATTTTGTAATACAAAATACTGATGATAGATTATACCTGTAAAATAACCTTTAGAATACGCTACAATACCTTTGACTATTAATTATATTGAAGTGAGTGTAAAGACCTGTTCCTTTTTTAATACCTTAATTACCTTAATTACTGTACCTCCTTCGTCACCAAGACCAGGGATGCCGGATAGGTTGTGTCAATACTATTTACATATTTTGCCCCAACTTGGGAGCTAAGCTCAAGTTGATTTAAGCACAGCTCCCACCCAACAATGTTGGGTTGCTGTTTCTATTCCAAGCAGCTTAGTTTTCTATTCCAAGTTATTCGTTTTAAAATAGTGCCTGTAATACTTAGCAATTGCTCGAATTCGAAGTACAGGGACAATAGTTTTAACTAAATCTATCTTGTCTTGGAAAAATGATATAATTAAGAATATCGTTATGCCAATGGTTTTAATTATTAATTTTGTCTTAATTCTTGGATCTTTTCATAAATTGGTTTTAACTTTTGTGTTTGCATTATGTTAAGGATGTTGCTTTCATTTTTTCTTGTTGCTAAATATATATGTCATTATTCTTTCACATTCATCCTTTTTCTCCTTTTTGTTCATATTCCAAAATTTGTACACTATCTTCAATTTTTCCATAACTATGGTTATTACCATGAATGAAGTTATACGTCCGTTATACGTTATACGTCCGTGAACGCAATAACTTGAGTAATTTTTGTTCTATTTCGATGAAATTTGGTTTAAAGGTGTAAGGCGGGATGAACTTGAATGAGTTTGCAAACCAGCATGATCGGACCATGGGAACGGGGTTTTACGGGGTACAAAATGGTTTTTTGCATTTTTTACTCTCAAAACACGAAATTTCCCAATTTCTCTTCAGACCTTTTTAAAGATCTTAAAAAAACAAATAATTTAGTATATAAAAGTGTTTTTGAACGATAATGGATCAAGGAGAAAATTAAAAAAATAGTAAATTAAAAATTCCCATGTTATTCTTATTGAGAATATTGTAAAATGTCGTTGAAATTCATTTATAACAGTCATAACAACATTCATTTATTTATGTACAGTCGCTTGTTAATGGGCATATTTTCATCAAACGTGGCAATTTTGTTTATTTCATACTAAGCTATTAGTATGTAATCTTTGATTTTACTAAAAAACACACTTAATTAGTTTCCTTGTAGCAGCAAACCTAGGTAAATAACTCACGTACAGCCAAAACTAAATATATCAACCAAACTCCGAAGTTAACTCTAAAAGTTTTTGTTTTTGCCCTGCAATGGATCTCAAATGGTAAAATCTTTGTCTTTTAACATTTGCACTCCTTCAATTTTATCAGTCCAACATAAATATGTGGTTTACAATTCAGAACAACTATCAATGCACTTCAAGGTCCGGCTTTAAGACCTGAATCATAGCTAAAACTGCAGGCTGGCATGAGAAATACTTTGTAAAAGTTCCAAATGGCTCATAAGTGGTGTTTAAGGGATATTTTTCTATACTTTAAATCATTTAAGAGCAGATTATACACAATTTCAATCTTTAAAGGTCATATTTAGAGTTTATGGAAATTTTTTAGTACTCGAAAGGCTATATATCAACCAAACTCCGAAATTAACTGTAAAAGTTTTTTTTTGCCTCTGCAATAGATCTCAAAAGGTAAAATCTTTGTTTTTTTTTATGTACACTCCTTCAATTAAGCCATCCCAACCCAAATATGTGGTTAAAAATTGAAAACAATCATCAGTTCACTTCAAGGCCCGACATTTAGACATGAAATGTAGCCAAAATCGAAGTCCAGCGTTAGAAATACTTTGTTAAAGTTCCAAATAGTTCATGAGTGGTGTTCAAGGGATATTTTTCTATACGGTACTTTAAATCATTTAAGAGCAGATTATACACAATTTCAATCTTTAAAGGCCATATGTATCTATTAATAAGAGTTTATGGAAATTTGTTAGTGCTCGAAAGGCTATATAACAACCAAACTCCAAAATTAACTGTAAAAGTTTTTGTTTTTGCCCTGCAATAGATAAACCTTTTGAGACGCGGTTTCTGGCAATGAACTCCACTTGACCAGCCCTTTAAAATGATGTGCATATCAACCTATGCTTAAATTAAAGATTATGTACCTACACCTCATGGGTCGTCCCCTGGTACAGGTAAAAAAATTGTAATACTTCCAAAAAGTTGTTTTCATACATATAAGTTGATGTTAAAGGTTTGAATTTTCTAACAGCTTTAGTTAAAAGCCGTTTCCAGACTTTTTTGTCACCCTGTATGTATATATGGGACATTAAGAAACGAAAAAGTAAATCGGTCCCGGGTCCAGGTCTTACCATATGAGTAATATGGTAATAGCTTATTCCCTATATGGAAATTCGCTAAAAAAAAGAAATATCTAACATGGTTGATAGAATGTTTTCTTTTATGTATTATTTGAATGGAGTGAAAATATCAATGCCGCAGCAAACCTGCAGACTAAGAAAATTTCCATTGGCCTGATTTGATTATCACTTAAATCTATTTAAATAACATTAGGTTTAATCCTGTAAGGTTTGCTTCTACAGGATGGCTGGTATTTAAGGGTGTTTTCTTTTGTAAAATGTTAATAGCTTGGTTTTAAATAAATTCATTTGAAAGTTTATTCAAAATATATCCATAAACAAAAAAACTATACTGTAAGAGTTTACTTCTTCTTCTTTTAAGAATAACATAGGGAATTTAAAATTTACAATTATAATATTTTCCGTATAACCAATAACTGTACAAAAACACTTAAGTATTTTTAGCTCTATATAATAGTTTGTAAAGAAATTGCAAAATTTTATGATTTAGGGTAAAAAATGGGAAATAGTTTTATTTGTGTAACTAGTGTGCGAAGTGGTGCTTTGCTGCACATGAGAGAAATGTTTCCCCACGAGCACAGAAAACGTACGTTATAGTAGTATGTTTTCTGTACCACGAGCCACAGGCGAGTATGAAAAGTTTCTCGAGTGCAGTGCAGCGAAGGCCAACTTATTTTCAAGCGTACAAGTACGTGCCTAATAAAAGCACACTGTTTTGTGTTCTTTGGTTGGAATACTGGAGTGCGGCAAAAGTAAGAAAATATGTAGGTACCTATCAATTATAGCTACTTTTGGTGCAATGGCGTGCATTATAACCAGTGCAAGGAAGCCCACTTTGTCAGGCAACTGACTGTAGGAAATAGTCATTTGTGCCCGCACACAAGATCTATGTTTACGCAAGAGCCGCAGACGAGAGGTCCGTAAAGTTGGCGAACCCATATTAGCGTATCCACTTTTGATCATACCAATCGTTAGTTCATCGTTAGTTCTCGATAGTTCCCAAATTTT